ATACCTTTTTTTACTTATTTTTATGTGGTGCTGAGGATCGAACCCAGTGCCTTGCACATGCTAGGCGAGAGTGCTCTACCACTGAGCCACAACCCTAAAAGGGGACTCTTAATGATAAAGATATTATTTAATCAAAGATAGAAAAAATTTGTTTCTATATATATGCCTAATTTGGTCTCAAAATATATACAACAGAAACTGACAGAATCATTGCTAATAGAATATTAATACAAGGAATTTGTATTTTCATGACATTCCCTATACAGAATTTTAATATAATATATTCATTGCTTGAAAATCTCTTATTTGTTAATCTATCACAGTACTCCGCAACTTTTTTAAAACCTCCCTTAGTAACTGGTAAAAATGAACTGATAAAATGTCAAGAAGGATATAAAAGATTTGAACTCAATCAGCAAATGTGATTTACAGGACCTAAACCACATGCTACATTCTGTAAGTAGAGAATCCACATTCTTTGCAAGCATGCACAAAACATTTCCCAAAACTCTAACTACTTGAGGGACCATGCTCAAGTCTTAATAGACTTTCAAGGGACTGAAATTCTTGACTGCAATGCAATTACACCAGATATCAATAATTTGAAAATTTTAAAAATTACCAAAATAACCCTCATTTATTTGGAAAAAAATTAAATCATATCACACATATACAAAAGTCAATCTAGTTACCACATTTCAATGATCTGGGCCTCGTACTAAAGAAAGAGCCCAGCTTGGTGTGAGGTGTGCACTGGAATAAAAGAGCAAACTGAGAAAGGGAAGAGGGAAAGGAAAATCTATATTCCTGTTCCAGGTATGCTGGCAAGAAGGTCAGCTTCAGGTAAACTCATATATGGAAGCGGAGAACCTGGAAACTGATTCTGACAAGACTATGCAAGCCTTAGAAAGTCTCCATAAACCCCAGATTAAAAACTACAGGGGCTGGGGTTGTAGTTCAGTGGTAGAGTGCTTGTCTCGCATGCATGGGGCACTGAGTTCGATCCTCAGCACCACATAAAGCAAAATAAAGACATGTGTCCACCTATAACTAAAAAATAAATATTTGAAAAACAAACTACAGCGAAGGAGGAAAATTTATATATATATGATATACATATAGATATATAAGGACAACATATGAAAAATATATATTATATATATAATATATGAATGTGATATAAACAACATAAGCCTCTGAAGAATTTGAAGGAGGTAAGGTACAGATTTAGAAGCTGCTTTGGGGGCATAGTTCTCAACCATGACTACACAGCAGCCACCTGAAGAGATCAGAATTTTTTTTTTTTTTGGTACCAGGAATTGAACCCAAGGGTACTTAACCACTTGAGCCACACCCCCAGCCTTTTCATTTTTTATTTAGAGGCAGGGTCTCACTAAGTTGCTGAGGCTGGCTTTGATTTTGCAATTCTCCTGCCTTAGCCTTTCAAGTTTCTAGGACTGTAGGCATACGCCACAATGTAGCCCATTTCTTTCACCCAGCTGAAAGCTCAGAAATTTTAATGAAAATATTTCAACATAAAACAATTTTTTAATAATAAATTTTAATGAAACCAGAATCACCTGGCAGGAATAGATCATTTTATAGTCAGGCAGTTTCCTCATCTTTGCTTGGAACAAGGTAGAAGGCAAATATAATCTAATATTCAGATGATACATCATTAATAATTCTGATAGAAGATCACTCACAACATGATTTGGGTTTAAAAACTAAAGGAAGTTCAAAATATTGAGTGGTCCTGTTATACCAATACTCCAACTCCATCTACAATTTAAGTGAACAATTTCTCAGAATTCACATTAAAAAATAAAAAGCAGATGTGACACTGAAGCCCATATCATTTTGCCTCTAGTATCTTGTCCATATGGTGAGGCTAGGGAGACAACATCTCACTGAGATGCATTTCAATAAATTACCACTTTTGTATAATAGATATTCAAAATTTGTGTAATGTATCCAGGCATGGTGGTGCACACTTGCAGGCCCAGATACTCTGGAGGCTAGGCCAGTAGAATCCTTCAGCCCAGGAATTTGAGGTCAGCCTGGGCAACACAGTGAGACTCCATAATAAAATAAAAATAAAAAATTCTGTACTGCACTATTTTGATCAGTTATGAACCAATAATCCCAAAGAAAATATTAAAACCTAAATATTAAATCCTGACAAAGTTAAAAAGTTTAAATCACAACACTTATTATGAAGCTGCAAAGAACTATGATAGGTTAAGGAATAAGGGATTTTCAAGTAGTAAATATATTGTATGAAGATAAAGTCCTGTGTGAGGAATGACATGAAAATACAAGTTCAATTTAAACAGACTGAAGTACAATATAAGTTTATTTATATTGCTTAAAAGAAAAGTGGATATCCAGGAAGCAATATTTAGATACCATTAAATATTTAAGAGTACTGAATAGTTTTACTGGAAACTACATCCTTTGCTTTTGGGGGGAAGAGGGGGCGGTGGTGGGATCCAAATCCAGGGCTTCTAGGCAAGCACTGAGCGATACCACTACAGCTACACTGAAAATATTTCAACATAAGACAATTTTTTAATAACAAATTTTAAAGGGGACATATAATTTCAGATTGGGATGTCAGAGGGGAAAAATAAAAGTTTAAAGGCCACTGCTGTAGCCTCCACACAAGAATTCCTCAGGATGGCGCCTGGGCAACCTCTTTAGCGTCCCCATATCCTGTGTTCCAGATAACAAGCACTTGGAGTTCTAGTCATCTCTGAGCCACACCATAGTTCAGAAGGCAGTTCAGGGAGTGTATGCTAATTTAGTACCTTTCCCAGATGGAGCGTGAAGGTGACAATGAGAAAATACTGAACACAAAATTCTAAGCAATTTCGTTCAGGAAATTTGGGAATCATCCCAAACATTCATGGAATATCAGAAGGGCCTAACAGGAAATTTCCCTGGACCTGAATGGGAAAAGGAGGGAAGAAAGGCAAGGTAATATTTGACTGAAAATTTAATTAAACATAAGTGCAGGGCTGGGGTTGTAGCTCAGTGGTACAGCACCTGCCTAGCACATGTGAGGCACTGGGTTCGATCCTCAGCACCACATAATTAATTAATTAACTAATTAATAGAAATGTGTCCATCTACAACTGGGAAGAAAAAAGAGGTAAGTGCAGAATGCTCAGTCCTGTAATATCTCCAAACCATTGATAATGCCAACCATCAGCTACCTACACCGTAATTTAAGCCACTATTTTGGATGTGTACATTCTTTTGTGGCTAAACCTAATTTCTATTAGTTCTAGTGCTATTTGTACCTCACTTAAAAAAAAAAAAAAAAAACTTAATGCTATGTAGAATTCATTTCTATAAAAAAACATAAGGCTACATTATCATTTTTAAATATTAACCAGGCTAGAGGTGTAACAGTGGCAGAGTGCTTGTCTGGCATGAGTAAGACCCTGGGTCTGATCCTCAGCATCATTTAAAAAAAAAAAAAAAATCTGAAAATCTGCAAGCCCTGAAACAGAATAATAAGACAAAATGTTATTTGGGGGAGATAAGGTGGTTAATGAAGTACTCTGAGTGGGTGGCACTTGAACTGAGACTTAACAGATGAAAAGAAATCAAGCTGGCAAGAAGAACCAGGAGGCAGTGTCCCAGACAGGGGAACGATAAGTGCAAAGGTCCTGAGGCATGAAGGCAGCCAGAGGCTGGAACAAAATCAATAGAGAATGATTGGAGATGCCAGGCACCAGGAGCCAGACTGTACAGATATAATGCACAGTTATCCTTCGAAGGAGACTCCAGGCTCTGAGGATCAGAACAAAAACTGAAGAAAGCAACCCCAGATGCTTCCAATAGCAATTTAGTGGCATGGAACAGGAAGAGAAGAGGCAATGAGAGGACAGGCAGATGAAGCAACACAAGGACAGTGTGGGCTCCCAGAACGCAATGAGAAAGTCAATCAGGACAAAAGAGCAGGGTGACAAAGAAAACTAGGACTCTGGCCAACAGTGTGGGTTGTAGGAAGGGTTGGATCAGGCAGGCTAGGGCAGGAGCAGGTTGCTTCCCAAGCTGATACCCAGCTCAAAATTACTCCCTTTTCCCCAACTTAAACTTACTCAATGTAGAGTCTATGCTGATCTTAGCCACTGCTCATATATGACATGCCAGTGACACCTCAGCCTCCCTGACCTCCAGGATAAAGGTCACAGAAATTAAAACTGCCCACAAATCCAGATCCTCCCTCCTCCTCAAGTAGTGGCTTGAACGGTAGGTATGTCTCCCCTCTTGAGAACCAGTCACCTGGTGGTTCCAAATAGAGCCCTCTAATGATAACAAGACCCTTAGCCAAGTACTGGGGAAAGGGTCTAGGCCTTTAAGAATGTCAGAGAGATTCATCCACTGTCCAGAAGAAAGGGGATCATGTGTACCAAGTGTACTCCTGGGCTCAGAGAACAAACATAACAATTTAAATGCGGTTTCTGCCATTTATTGGCTGCATTATCTATGCATAAAGACATGCAAACCATCTATTTCAAACAGCCTGCATGAGAATTAAATGCAATCAGGTATGACAAGGTCAGTGCCTAACACACAGCTAAATACCCAATAATGATCCAGGTTGTTTCATTCTTCCCACGATAGAAGGGGATAAATTCAGACAATCTGACAGTTCCACCATTTTCTGACTATGAGCACTTTCAACTTTAAGACTTATTTTTTTAGTCAGTAAAATGGAGATTACATCTCTTACTGGGCATGGCTTTTGAAGAAATTAGATAAGAAAAGTGTGAAGTGTCAAGCACAGCTCCTGACACATACCTACTCAATATCCATTATTTATTATTAGTGAGTGTAACCAAGATGGAGAAGAAATGAGCGAGGGAGGAGCAGGGCACGCCTATAAACGAAGCTCAGGTCTTGGCTTCTTGGAGTGGCAAGGAGCAGTGGCTTGAACGGTATGTCTCGCCTCTTGGGAACCACTCACCTGATGGTTCCAAATAGAGCCCTCTTTGCTGCGCTCATCGGGGGTCAGACGCACGTACTGACTCGTAAGCATTGTGCTGCCTTGGAAGTCCCAGAGAGGCATGGAGCTGGAACCAACGCCTGTAGGCAGAGTGACGGACATAAACAGGTGCGTGAGAGGCCATGCCAGGACTGGTATTGAGAAGGGCAGGAAACCCACAGAGCTGCTCTCCTCGAGAGAAAGGGCACGCCCTCCCCCAACCCAGCTCAGCCTTGCCCTCACCCTTCACTCAATTCCTTCCCGGGCCTCACCTTGGTAGGGCTTGATAAGCGAATGCTCCCGCTTGAGGTGTTCACTGTTGCCGTCGGTTATATCCGCAGCCACTGACGCCAGCAACAGAAGAAGATGTAGAAGGGTAACGGGGCCAGGGCCGGGGCCAGGAAGCCCAGGTCTCCCTGGGCACCGCCGGCCCCAGCCCCAGCGCCAAAACCAGCCCTCCTCCGCCATTCTCCTTTCCTCTCGGCCACTTCCGCCCTAGGACTTCCGCCTTCCGGATGTCCTATCTAATGGCCTCCGGCCGGAAACCCTCCAACTCTAATGTCACCGGGGAGTTAAAAAACAAAGCCTCTCAGCCGAGGGGGTGGCAGCTTTACTAGACGGGCAGCCCCCTGTCCTGGTTGAGGGTCGTTCCATCACCTTGTAGGTTCCAGGCACCTGCCAGCCGGGCTCAGCAATGGATTCTTAGGCGCCACAGAGTTTCAGCCAATCACAGAGCAGCACGTTAGGTATGTAAGCCAATGAGCAGAGCAATGGTCTGAACCGCGGGGAATGCGAGCGCCGTCCTCCGAGCGGAGCACCGTGGAACTTGTAGTTTTTATCCGCTGCTTGCGCGGACTGGATGCGCAGGACTACAACGCCCTTCTCCTCTGGCTTCGGGTCTGGTCTCTAAAAAGATCTTTCCCAATTTGAGGTGGGGGCGGTGACCTCTAAATTGAAGTAGCAGGCTTGATGACTTCGACTCACTGAGTAGCCTCCGCCCCAGCTAGTTCGAGGCGTTTGGGGACGTAAAATTCCCCACTATTTGAGGGCCTCCACTGTCCCCAACTCCGCAGGTCCAGTCGGATTGAAGCAGGAGGAGCAGACCCAGGTCTTGGCCTGGGACCCTAGTGATGGTTGGAACCTGTCTGAATCCAAACCAGGACGGTGCCCTGTCTTGGAAGAAGCATCCATGAAAAGTTCGGCAAAAATGGCTGTGGATAAGAGATTGAAACCAGTTCAATAAATGATTTAATTACCAATATTTTTAAGTCAGAGTACTTAAATTCACATCGAAAATCCCGATTGCCACTTTTTCAAGAAAAAAAAAATTGGAAAATCTAGACCCACATTCCTGCAAGAGGACTGAAAACTGGGGCTGATGAGGACTGCCTCTACAAAGGCAGCCCTCTTCCAACCTAGCCTCCCGCTGGCCACTGATGTACATCAATTGTCTCAATTAATGATTCCTGTTATAGAAACAGGATGTGATGTTGTTTGGTCGCTCCTTTATTTTAAGAACCTGCCCTCTTAAATGAATGAACTTATTCAGTGTTTAGTACTGAGACCTCTTTTCTGGGTCATTTGTTTTATTTTTCTGGTAATGGGAATTGGACCAAGGAGCACTCTACCACTGAGCTACATCCTATTCCTTAAAAAAAAAAAAAAAAAAAAAAAAAATTAAGGCTAACCTTGAACTTTCAATTCTGTTTCAACTCCCAAGTAGCTGGGATTATAGTCATGCACCCCCATGCCCAGCTCTGAGTCATACATTTTAAATTATTATTTTGTATTAAAGCAATACATTATTATGGTGTGCTTGATATACACCACAGGGTATCCTAAGGGGGGCTGGCTCCAGGGAACCCTCCCAGTATCAAAATCTGAGGATGCTTGAGTCTCTTATATAAAATGGCATAGAGGCTGTGTGTGTTAGCAAAGGCCTATAATTCCAGTGACTTGAGAGGCTGAGGCAGGCAGATCACAAGTTTGAGGCTACCTTCAGCAACTTAGCAGGGTCCTAAGCAACTTAGTGAGACTCTGGCTCCAAAAATAAAAAGGCTGGGGATGTAGCTCAGTGGTAAAGCACCTATGCACATTCTCTCTTATATTCTTTAAATCATCTTTAGGTTACTTATATCTAATACAATGTAAATGAAATGAAAATAGTTGTTACATTGCATTATTTAGAGAATAATGACAAGAAAAGTCTGTATATACTCAGTACAGATTCGAAAATTTTCCCTAATATTTCCCATCCACAGTTGGTTTGGTGAATGTGGATCCTGCAGATACAGAGGCAGCCGTATATATGTATCTGTATATATACATATATAGAGAGAGAAGGAGGGACAAAAATCACAAACATATGTACAGCAAAAGTCTTCTGCCTCCTCTCCCAATGGGTCTACACTTCTGGAGATTAACCTCTACCTGTGCAAACAAGGACATGTACATTCCACTGAACTCCCATCAGGGCTGGGATTTTTGTCAACTACAGTCACTACTGAATCCCAGCATCTAGATTAGTGCACATAAGAGGTGGTTAATTGGTGAAAGAATGACTATTTGTTCCAGAACCTGGAATTGGGTCATGAAGAATGAGTAGGAATTTACCAGGGAGGGAAATGGAATTCTCAGTGGAGACAACATGAGATACAAAGTCAAGGAAGATGGGTGCCTGGAAGCATTAGGAATACAACAATTTGGAACAGATAGGAAGAATGTGACTGAAGACGGGGAGTGGCTGAGACTAAAATTCAAAGAGTCTTCATTTCCCCACAAAGGAGCCATTTTGCAGAACTCAATGAGATGGTTTTAAGTACAGCAGTGACTGATGTGTGCATTTCTCTAGTGGGAGTGAGAAGAGACTGGATCTGTTAGGAAAACTGAATTCATTATGACCAAATAAGGGTAAGACCTAAACCAAGGATGCCTCCACAGTGAAGAAGGATCAAAAGTCCCATCAGAAACTAGGTTCTAGTAACTGTTCTGCTATGGGAAACCAGAGCGAGGGAAGTTGAGGTCAGTGTTCTGTGGGGTGAAAGTATTCCATGGAGTGGAGAAAACTAGATGAGGGCTAAGAGATAAGAAATCCCAGGGTTAGCTGGGGCCCCTGTGGGCAGAGTTAGAACTGGCATCCCTGTTGGAGGGTTGGAGAGAGGCATTTCAGCAGCAGCAGGAATGGACAAACTTAATTGGAAATCCTTGTGACTGGGCCTTTGACAGGAGGAAGATGAACTATTTGCTCGTGGGCTGGTGGAAGGTTCAAGCCCAGGTCCCAGCACCCAGGGTGCATTTGCCATTTAGCAAGTCTCTAACATAATATATACAGTCTTGGACAACTCACTTCTCTCTGAGCCTCAGTTTCCTGTTCTATAAAATAGGAATAATGAACACTACTCACAAAATGGTTGTGAAGATCAATTGAAGTTCTGGTCAAAAGACACTATAAACTATAAAACACCCTATGAGCTTAGGCTTGGATCTATAGCACAGCAAATAGGCAGGCTTCATTTATGGCATACATCCTAAACCCCCTCATAGGTACCACCATTGAGAAGACCACCCTTGAGCTGAGGTTGTGGCTCAGTTATAGAGCACTTGCCTAGCGTGCATGAGGCCCTGGTTCTATCCCCAGTACTACATGAATGAATGAATGAATGAATGAGTAAATAAAATCATCTTTGGAAAATACCCACCATTGACAATGACCTATGTCTGAAAGCAACCCCCTACACAAACCAAGTCTGACTGAATCCCTCTGACTGGATGAACTGAAGCAAGATGTTTGGAAAGAATCTAGTGTATTAACTAGGGTCACGCTAGTTGCTATAACAAACATACCCTAATGTGTACAATGGTCAAGGAAGTTTGTTTCTGGAGAGCTGTCATAGCTGTCCAGAGCTGATATTCCAGGTCGATGGATGGCATCCTTCATGAGCTAGTGCACAGACATCACTTCTTCCTTCTGACTCCCCAATCCCCTAGAGCCTCATTGTCTATATACACCCAGTTAAAAGAGAAAGAGAATGGAGGGCACACACCTACTTCTTCAAAGCCTGGCCCAGAAATGGCACATATCATTCCATTCCCTTAATTGGTGGGAATTGGTCACATGGTCACAAGTACCTATAAGGGGTCCTGGGAAGTTGAGATTAGCCATGTGCCAGGGAGGAACAGGACATGAATGTGTAGTGAGAAGTGACTCAGTTTCTGTCACAGCAGAGTTCAGGTGACAGCCCTAGAAGGGGACAGTGGGGCAGAGATAGATTATGGAGCAGGGAATGTGCCTTGTCTCTATAAAAGAAATATCCCAAACCAGAGTGGTAAGTGACTTGAGGTCTCTAAGTAAGCTCACACTTAGAGTAAAATATAAGTCCAAGTAATGGGGACATGCATGTATAAGTAGGAGGCAAACTGAGGACTCTGGTTAAAGCACCTGAATCTATCTGGGGCTGGGTCAGGGCTGAGGGTAGGGGTCACCTTCAGCCACCAGTACTTGCTGTGAACTGAATGTTTGTGTCTCCCCACCCCTGCAATATTCATATGTTAAAACAATAACCTCTAGTGCAGTGGTATTTGGAGATGTTGGAAATGAGGGCTTGCGAGGTAACTAAGCTGTGAGTAGGAATCTCTTATGATGGTGTTAGCACCCCTGTGAAAAGAGACGGCAGAGAACGTGCTTCCTTTTCTCTGTTCTTTCACTTGAGGACGTAACAAAAAGACAGCCATCTGCAAACCAGGAAAGGGGACTTCATCAGACACCAGATCTGCCAGCATCTTGACCATCCCAACCTCCAGCATTGTGAGAAATGAGTGTTTGTTGTTTAAGCCACACAGCCCATGGTATTTTTCTTACAGAAACCTAAGATGAGACAGTCCTACAACCAAGACAGGATTTCTATGCGAATGAAAATGAATGCACATGGCCTTCAGCATAGATGTACCTGCTCTGTTCTCTTACCCAGGTAGGTGAGATGCACATACCTGGTTACATATGTCACTGGTGATATATGGGCCTGTATGCAGGAATGCCTGTCCCATGTGCCTATCCAAGGAACAGTGAGTATCTATGACTGAACACCCAGGTGTCATTTATTAGGGAAAGCCCAAGTGTTTATAATATGTACACCTGTGTGGTCTGTGTGTGCATGACCATGAACACAAGATGTCTACTGTCTGCGCAACTGGGCTCATGCATGAGATGAGAGCCTGTAAGTGTCTGAAATGAGGAGTGGTAAATCTGCATGTGCACATAGCGGGGCAGGGATACTGTGCATGCACACTGCTGGCACACAGTAGGTATGATATACGGGTGTGCTGAGCAAAGTACACATGTGGATATGCAGGACCCAGGGCACATGTAAGCATGTCCACAGGAACCCATGCCAGGTACACAGGTGCCAAATGTGTGACCATGCACTCTGTGTGCTCACACAGAATCTTGGAGCTCCCAGGGCTGAGCCAGACCAGGCGGGGCTCCTCCTTGGGTTCCGGACTGGGAGGCCTCTGCTGTGTATTGGTGCCTGTGTAGGATGCTGCCAAGGGTGTGTTGGCAATGTGTGTGTGTGCATGAACGTGTGTGTGTGTGTGTGTGTGTGTGTGTGTGTGTGTAGGAAGAGGCGTTCGCTCTCTTAGACCTTGCTTCTCTCTGTGGTTTGGTTTCTATAGAGACACTTCCTGTGGCAGAAAAAAGAGGTAGTGAGCTGGTGTTTCAGGATGTGAGGGCCCGGAGGAACAGAGCCGGGCTCTCTCTGACGCCTGCCTGCCACTGTGCAAGCTCTGGCCGGCACTGCCCACAGTCCCCATGGTGGGCGGCCCCCGCAGCAGGGACCTGTGATCAGCAGCGGCATGCCAGGGAAGCCCAAGCACCTGGGCGTCCCCAACGGGCGCATGGTGAGTGCCGGCTATGAGCCAGGGCCACAAGGAGGGGGTGGGCACACCCAGGGTGGAGCCCAGGAGGCACACCCAACAGGGCCAAGTAAGAGTCCATGGGCTACCAGCAGGTGGGCGAAGCTGGGACAAACAGTTGCAGGCAGTGGACCTGGTGCCCTTGCTCCGGGACCCTTCTAGATGGCCCTGCTAGGAGCCTGGTGTGAGACCAAGGCAGGGTGGGCAAAGGCTTCTGGTCCAGCATGCAGGTCAGGGTGCTGCTCCCTTACCTGCTACTGGTGTGGCCCCACCAGGAGCAGCTTGCACCTCAGGCTAGCAGAGAGACCTGACATGCCCCTGGCCACTGCCCACCTCT